AAATACCCAAACTTACATGGACTGTATAGGGCACCCGTTTAAAGGCTCAGTCCACCTTTTATACCATGCTTCGTGTTACATTGATATTTAAGGTGTAACTTAGACATGGTGGCACAAGCCATCCCCAAAACCCACAATGCAACAACTTAGTAAATGCACATTGGTTTCATTATATCAGGGTTGGTGCATTTGCTGTTTGCAAAGGGTGGACTACACCTTTAAGGAGCAAGTTTACCCAAAAGTGAGATTTTGGCTATAGGTGGAGTCTGGTGGGCAGAGCCATCTGCTGACCTTTGACATCTCTTAGGCACTCCACTGGTGAGATACCCAGACTGTAGTTACTGGCTCTGTTCTGGATCACATTGGCGCTCTTAGGGTCACTGCTCTGCAGGGCCCTAAGAGCCCGGAACGTGCATCACGGGGACCCCCCTGGCCTTGATGCCCCTGACGCTCAGCTTCGGGTGCTCCCACTCTAACTGTAATATAAAATAATGATAATAATCAGCAAAAAGAGAGCATCATGTGGGTCATGTGACTAGATGACATATGCAAAGCTCAGTAGCCAATTAGCACAGGACTCATTCTTGTTTCTCACTAAACTGACTATAATACGCTGAGATCTGATTGGCCAGTATGATGGTACGCCATTATTGGGAGCCATAGCGCATTCTTAGATTTCAGTTTACTTGCAGCTCAATGATGTGATGATTTTTGATTGGCTGCTCCACCACCATACACTGTACATACAACAATGGCCAATGATCCATCATATTGCCAAATACCCCCCACCCCCCATGGAGAATGGCAGATCTGCAGGCTGCATACAAGTGATCTCAGCGACATCTCTGAGATCACTTGTACAAAACAAGCGGCGGCTTCCCCCGCTGTACATTTAGCTCTGCTTGCCCAAAGCAGGGCTACATGTAGAAAACAACTACCCACCCGGCGCCCGGAACTGCATGTCCTGGGCATTGGGAGATAGGAATTCCACACCCCTGCCGCCCCTCTACTCCCTGCTGCCCCGAGGCTGGGCCTTGGTTGACCTTGTGGGAAATCTGGCCTTGTTTGAGGCATTGGTCATGTGATCACTGCCAAAGGTTCTTGGAATCCCACAGACCCAGATCATCAAAGGCTCAGCCTGGGCAAGGGTTCAGGGTCTCCTCCCCTTCAGAAGAGATCACCCAGCCAATGCCATTGCATATGACCCACCCAGAAGGAGATTGCTGGCCTCTTCTAGTTGCTGCATGTCATTACTTTTGGAGTCACTGACCCAGGAGAAGCACGCAGCTCGGGAGTTCTGGCTTCACTTGCGGCATGCTTGAGTGGCTCAGAACATACTGCAGCCAAGAAACTAACATTTCCAGAGGTCATCAACAACACCCCATGTATTTCTCTCACTTCAGGTTTCCTTTAAATACCCAAACTTACATGGACTGTATAGGGCACCCGTTTAAAGGCTCAGTCCACCTTTTATACCATGCTTCGTGTTACATTGATATTTAAGGTGTAACTTAGACATGGTGGCACAAGCCATCCCCAAAACCCACAATGCAACAACTTAGTAAATGCACATTGGTTTCATTATATCAGGGTTGGTGCATTTGCTGTTTGCAAAGGGTGGACTACACCTTTAAGGAGCAAGTTTACCCAAAAGTGAGATTTTGGCTATAGGTGGAGTCTGGTGGGCAGAGCCATCTGCTGACCTTTGACATCTCTTAGGCACTCCACTGGTGAGATACCCAGACTGTAGTTACTGGCTCTGTTCTGGATCACATTGGCGCTCTTAGGGTCACTGCTCTGCAGGGCCCTAAGAGCCCGGAACGTGCATCACGGGGACCCCCCTGGCCTTGATGCCCCTGACGCTCAGCTTCGGGTGCTCCCACTCTAACTGTAATATAAAATAATGATAATAATCAGCAAAAAGAGAGCATCATGTGGGTCATGTGACTAGATGACATATGCAAAGCTCAGTAGCCAATTAGCACAGGACTCATTCTTGTTTCTCACTAAACTGACTATAATACGCTGAGATCTGATTGGCCAGTATGATGGTACGCCATTATTGGGAGCCATAGCGCATTCTTAGATTTCAGTTTACTTGCAGCTCAATGATGTGATGATTTTTGATTGGCTGCTCCACCACCATACACTGTACATACAACAATGGCCAATGATCCATCATAAGGAACTGCAGCCAGGAGCTGTCCAAGGTGCTGATCTCAGCCAGCAATGATTATCTCCATGTAGACCAGAGTTGGGCAACCTCCCCACTCCATCTGTTGTGGAACTACAAGTCCCATGAGCCATTGCAAGACTTGACAGCCACAGGCATGACTCCCCGAGGCAGATGCATGACTCCCAGAGGCACAGGCATGATCTGATTTGTGGTTTCACCAAAACTGGAGTGCTGAGATTGCCTACCCCTGTAATTCGGTTACATTAAGGTTGCCTGCTGGGGAGACTCTCCGCTAGGGGTGCACAAACTCCGACTCTCCGGCTGTGTGATGGAACTACAAATCCCATGAGGCATTGCAAGATTCTCCCAGCCACAGGCATGACTCCTGGAGACAGATGCATCATGGGATTTGTAGTTTCACCACAGTTGGAGGGCCAGAGTTTTCCCACCCCTGTCCTATGCAGATAGCATCCTGGTTGGAATTTGACCTAAGGACCTCAGTGCTGCAAGGCAGGAGTGCTAACCACTGAGCCACTGTACTGCCCCAGCTGCTTTCCTTGAATTTAATTTTAACATTTACTGAAAAGCAACATTTATAATGTATAAATAATGATTCATGAAACTTATTCCACAGAAATACAAAGCATTGTGCTTCTCCTCCAGTAACTCTATCGTTGGGAAAGTGGATAAGAGACGCTGGACAGTTATTACTCGTAATTAGAGGCATCGCAGTGGGGATGAGGAGAAGTGCAGCCCGCACCGGATGACACCATCAGAGGGGTGACACCGAAATGAATGACAGTCAGTTTGGTCAGTGTCACCCCCTCTGAAAAATCGGGCAATTGGTTATGTACCAAGAGCCTGACAGTTGCACAAGAGAAGAAGGAACATGTGAACACGTGTTAAGTGCATGTGACATCATTGCATGTGTGCGTGGTGATATCACGTGCGTGCATGATGATGTCCCAGTGGGTGGCACCCGGCCCGGTAACGCCTTTGCTCATTGTTAGTGATAATAATCAGTAGTGTCCCCAGTATTTCTGCCACATGAAGTGGTGGTGGTGGGGGCTCGTGGTGTTGGTGTTGCATGCAATCAGAGCAGTGTATGTGGACTCAATCATCATTCCATAGTTGGATGATTGCGCAGCGAGCCGACAGCAGCTGTCAATCTTTATGTAACCTTATTATATAAACCTGCAGGCTCAGCATCTCAGTATTATGAAAGCACTGAGCGGATTTCCACCTGTGAAAAGCAGCTTGGGGCCCGGTCTGTGTCCGTCTCCTCCAGGAATTGACTGGGGGCAATTCCTGAGCACCGGGGTCCGTCCCGGTGGTCTCTGAAGCAAGTACTGCAGACTCAGCCTGAAGAGGGTAACTTTGACTTCTGCAGAAAGAACTCCGAACTTATCAACCAGATACCAATTGTCACTTATCATGAGCTGAATGAGGGAATAAAAAGGAATGAGCTGCTGCAAGCCATTCACTTCTTAGTTCCTGGAAAAAGAACAATAGAAGGAAACTAGGAAGTGAATGGCTTGCAGCAGCCAATCAGCTAATTTCATTTCTCAGCACAGGGATGGTGGGAGCCCCTCATAATGGTCACAGCAGGTGTACAGACCCGGGAACTCAGCACAGGCATGGTGGGAGCTCCTCATAATGGGCACAGCAGGTGTACAGACCCGGGAACTCAGCTCAGGGATGGTGGGAGCTCCTCATAATGGGCACAGCAGGTGTACAGACCCTTTCAATGGTATATTTAACTGACCGAAAGGGAGCAAATAAGTAAATTCCATTGTTGGGGCTTATAAACACTGTAAATATCTCCGTAATATGCATCAAAATGAGACACCATCAGCATAGTCCTCCTCTTCTATTTTGGATAAGATCTTAGTCAGTACCTACAGCCCATAGAACTCAAAGATCATATGAAACCCCTTTCCTGCACCGCAGAGCTCAGACTGGCAGAGGAGGGATGGGAGCAAATCAGTTGTGCTGCTGTGCTTATGTGCTAGCAAATGGGCATGCTAATAGGAGGAGATAGGAGAGAGTAGAGTTCACTGGTCTGCTGCCTCTCCTTTTACTGTTTGGAGGGGGAATAAGACCTGTAGATGTCAACTGAGGCAGAGAACACTTATTATTACTATTATTTATATTATTATTATTTATATTATTATTTATATTATTATTCTGGATTTATTTTATATATCACCCACAGTCTGAGCAGCACTTTACAAAATAAAGGTTCCCTTCCCTGCTAGACAGTGCTGTGCAGCCCGACAGAGTTGTTAAAATCTCAGGACTGGACGGACAGAAATACAAATCCTTTGTCAGGTAATACAGCTCCCTTATGTGTATCTCACCTATGACATGTTTGCCCAGAGTTCTGCTTTATTCTATATTGCACTGAATATCGGGTGTGAGGAGCTAAGAACAAACATTTGGTTCACAATTTGGTAAGAAAATTATATTTATTTGTTGAGGAAGGACACGGGAAAATAGAGATATTGCTTTAACAAAAACAAACGCACTCCATAGAATATATATACTGTATATGTGGATACAAATAATATACAAAACATGGACGGAGCTCGGCTGGGAACTCACACTGCCAATAGAGGATCTCACAGAGTTCAAGAAGTACAAAAATAAGGATTTCATTAGAAAACATCGTCATTATAATCCAGCGTGACATTCGTCCTGTTCGAAAGTCACGGCCCCCCCCGGTGACTCTCCCTAATGGGACACGCCACCCAGGCGGCTGCGT